GTTGCGGCGTCTTTGATGATGTGAATTCCGCCCACCTCCCCTCTTCCCCGCACGCGGACGTTTGCTTTGATTGCATGCAAAACGCAGTCGCAAGTATATCAATCGCGCGTGAGCGTGCGCATCTTTTGACTTGGTGACATACACTGTGATAATTTCATTATGCCTCGGTATACAAACCAAGAATATTTAGAGATGGTGTACTGCTATCGCGAGTGTGACGAAGTAGGTTTGGTTTACGAATGAGTCCCTAAACCATAGAAGTTGCATTTTGTGCAGTGAGTAGTGATAGGGACACTTTAAAAAAGGTGAAAAGACACGTCCGCAAACAGGCAACCTTTGTTTGCAGCAAAATGGTGGTTTAGAGCAACAATTTTGCAGATAATAATTTAAGTCTCTTTTTATTGCTAGTGTAAATACTTTTTGATTAGAAACAACTAATTGTGTACTACCAGTGTGATTGATTTGATAAAAAGTTCTAGTGAAAAAAATGAATATGTTCCTCGTTCCTCGTTGTACCTACCTAAATCGCCGGTCTCGTAAGTACTTTTGAATACCTGGTTATAGCAATAAGTATTTCTTTTTGTTTAACATTTGCCTATTTCCAATCGTGACAAAATTATTATTAACTTTTAAAGTTTTTCTCTGCTTAAGAAAAGATGACATTTGTGCTTATTATTTCAATTTCAATAAAGGCATCTAAGACGATTTTATTGTACCTATTGTGTGGAATCAAACGAGTCAGTTGAGCTCTGTGTAGTTAGGTAGCTACTTACTCAACGGCTGGCGGGCGCGGTCGGTCGTTGAAACGCGGTGGAATTTCAATGTTTTACCGTTTTTTAGAAGTGCTTATTTATTAGTTGTTTTTCACTGGATATGTAAGTTTGTTTGTTTAAAATGAATAACTACTCAAAACGAGGAAAGGACATAAAAATACACAAATTATAAATAAATACATGAAAAAAATATACTTCAAAAAAATCCGAAAAAAGACAGGCATACTCTTTAAACATAACCCAACAATCTTACGAAGTTTCATAGAAACATTCAATTTCACCCTATATATACCTAATCTTATGACAAAATTTGCATTTTAATTTTATTTTAGCATTCTTAGCTAAGACATACAAAAAATGCCCTTGGAATATTCACCCATGTATCCTTTGTTGTGTTCAAATAAGATTATTATTATAGGTACCCACCTACTACTCGGTCAAGTTAACTTGTCACCTGGCTCGAATGACAATTTTAGCAAAATAGTCAGCAAAAAGAACTCAACAATAGCGTTCAATATCCGGCAATAAAATTGACAAAACGGCGTGGTCGTGATTTCTCCATTGCTTTTGCTTTTGGACTTAATTTTAAGTAAAAATGTTGAAGCTAGTGTGGGTGGTTATGTGTAATCATGCTCTCTTAAAAGTCTCCTCAGTGATGTCGTGTGAGGCCGGTCGTTACGTTCCCTAAATGAGTCTGCCCTAACTTCCTTGATATCGAAGATGTTAATGTTTAGTTACACTTTATATAAATAACACTATTTGTATTTAAACTGTATGACAAGGAAATCAAAATGCAGGTAAACAATTAATGTACATTTAATCATTATTATTAAAGGTGACTTCATGAATCATCTCCGAAGTAATTTTTCAAGTTGACAACTCTGTAAATAATAAAATAGGAAGAAAAAAACATCCCTTGTTGAGTTTCTTGCCGGTTCTTCTCAGTACAATGTCTCCCGCCGTAGATTTACGAACCGATGGCGTAGCTGCTAGATATCCATGAGTGCTTGTAACAGCCTTAACTGAATTTAATATAATGATTTTGATTATAATTATTATTATAATTTATAAACAAAATTGTCATTTAATTTGTTTTAGACCAGGTTATTTAAATTTATGTTGAAAATGAGTGCTAAAAATCCCGTAATGCGTGGATTATTAAAAAGTTATTGAGCCATGTATCTAAATTGCTAAAAAATGTTAGATTTTATTTTAATTTAGTTTCAAGTATTAATATAAAGCATCTTGAAATAAGAAAAATGTCGGAGGTACCTAATAATGTGTGTACCACTAACAAGTGTGCTAACGCTACTAGCAACACGACAACAAGAAGGCCATACAGATGCCGCTCACCTTCCCACCGCCCCGCAAAATAGACCTGAAGCCGATTGACAACATCAAGTCAAACCCAGAGGAGATGCAACCGCACAGAAGACGCTCATGCGACCCGCGCCTCTGCCGGTCCCGCAGCTGCGGTGACTGACCTGTCACCATGACGACGCCACTGCCCAATTCAAAGCCGAAGCACCAAGAACCGCAACAAGCCGCCGTGACCGCCCCCGCTACCCAAGAAAAAGAAAAACAACAACACGAAACTGCTTTACCGACACAGACACAGTCGGTAAGTTATGCCCAGAAGGCAAAAAAAAGTTTCGTGTCTGCCCCCGAAGCAACAAAAAACGAGAAACCGATCGCCGCCTCCCCCGCCGCCGTGCCGACCGCGCAACCGGCCTCCCGCAGCGCTCCCACGCTCCCACGGGTTCGTAAACACCCGCCGACCGTGGTCGAGCAGCTGCAGGACTGGCCGAAGCACCTGCGCGCCATTCACACGAAGCTCGGTCGACCGCCCAGCGTGTGCCCGTTTGGTACGGGCGTACGCTTTTCACCACAAGACGACGACGAGGGCCAGCTCGTCCAGGCCTACCTCTCTGAACAGACCGGACTGAGCTGGTACGCCCACGCCCGCCCGGAAGACCGCAGCCTAAAGGTAGCCATCCGTGGGCTGCCTGTGGACACCCACCCCGAGGACATCACCGAGGCTCTAGCAGAGAAGGGCTTTGAAGTAGAATACTCTAAGCAGATCCGGGCGCGAGCAGGCTGCCCCGGCTCACTGTACCTCGCAGCGCTACGCCGAACACCAAACCTCATCCCGGCCATCTACTCAGCGAGTGACCTCCTGAGCATGTCCGGGATCACCATCGAAGCCTGGAGAGGGAGGAAGACCCCCGCGCAGTGTCACCGCTGCCAGGGGTTCCGCCACTCCAGCCAAGGCTGTCACCGCGCGCTTGCTTGCGTGCGCTGCGGTGACCCGCACGCTGCCGCCGACTGCCCCCGCCCGCTCGCGCAACCCGCGACTTGCGTGAACTTCGCAGGCGCGCACCCCGCCAACCACAGCGCGTGCCCCGCGCTCCAACGCGAGGCGCGCAACCGTCGCGCCACCACCGTGGCCCACACAGGCCGCACACCCACCGAGCCAATCCAGCAGCCTGCCGAGGTGAGCGAGCACGCGCCGACCACACTGATGGCCCGCCCCCGCGAACGCTCCTCCCTCGCCCACCAGCCGCCCTAGACGCCGCCGCAGAAAAACCCGCCAGGCGAGTCACACACCGCCGACGGACACGCCCCCTGCCACTACACCACCCAGCGAAGCAAGCCATGAATCCCAAGACCAGCCACCATCTATGGAAGACGCACTGCAAAAGATGCTCCAATTCTCGGAACTGTTTACGGACTTTATCAAAAAGTTCGGGCAGCCCGAGAAAAGAAGAAACCAACCTACCCCCGGATACGACACCACCCCAGCCCTCTGAAGTCCGTCGCCCGCTCTCTGGTCGCTCACTGGGCCTCCCTCATGGGACTCACCCGGTGGGCTTGACCGCGCCGAGGGCGACGTGTGAAGAAGCGGAGGCAGGGGTATAACCCCAACGACCGTCTCGTTGTAAACGAGACGCGCACCCGAGACGTCTGAAGTGGGCCTGCCCAGAACAGATTCCCCGCAGACGCGCGAGATGACGATACGAGGTCGCTCCTCAACAACCGAACCTTCGTAACTGGTCTGTAAGCTCAGTAAAAAGTGATCTAACACGAAAATAGAGATTTTTGTCAAATCGCATTTGAATTAAAAAAAAACTGCTACGTTGTTTTGATTGTTTTGGTGAAAGATAGCGTTAAATATAATCAGGTAGTGTACCAGTTTTGGAAATAATGTATGTAGTTTCTATTCAATTAAATAATTAACCCACCCACATAGAGGTTTTCTTTCTCGTAGAAGTCAACCAACATCTGATATCATGCATTCCATGGCCCAACTCCAAATTGCCCCCAACTTATCACCACAACGTTTCTTCAACCGAGCGTTGAAGTCCCTCATCCCTTAAAGTAACTTATATCGTTTTACACTTTTACAAACCTTATTGTGGTTAATGATAAGTCTAAATGTATCAATACACACAAAATAAATACAATTTTGTTCTCCACCTTTTGTTCTGAAAATTAAGTTAAATTCTTTTTCACTAACCTATAAAAACATAGCTTTTTGTGTATATTAATATATGTCTTCTTGTAAATGTAGTAATACGAGTTATACCTTTTGTCATAATAAAAATAATGTGTGTGTGTCTCTTCCCGACGTGCATGAAAGTTGGAGGGTAACGCAGCGAAGGCTGAAACGCTACTAGCGTCGCGACAATATATAAATATACTATTGGTGCGTGCGCTGCTCCATTCCCCTAAGCCTTATGCACCGCCTAATGTTAGGTTATCCAAGAAAAGAAGTTATAAAAGCATAAAAGTTTCACTTATGAAATGAAAAGAAAAAACAAAATCTAAGCTTAATAAGCTTAATTTGGCCTTTTCCTTTATACAGAAAAATGGAATTTAAAAAAAGTCAAGCATGTTGTCAATGTCTTCCAATGTCTTGTCATACATAAAAAAGAAAAAGAAGAAGAAGAATGTCTTGTCATTTTACTTGACATTGGCTGAACGCACAAACCGTACATGCCATAAAAAAAAGAAAAAAAATGTCTTGTCAGTGTCAGGCTGCTGTGTTCCTAACCTTGCTCCCGCTCCCGGCGAAACTTTCTGTGTGAAACGGAAACAGCCACAAAACAAAAAAAATGTAAGTGTCATACATTTATGTCAAAATTGAGCATCTGGGCAAAAAGTTGCACTCAAAGCATTGGATTTGGAACGCAACCCAGCTCCTTTTATTGTGTTGTGTATTATTATACCCTAACTTTGATTGTTTATACCCAACCAAGGTTGAGTTTAAGCCGCTCACCGCGCTGTTTGTTTAACAGAATTTTATTTAAATTGCGGACGCAGACATTTTAGTTCTTTCATACATTTTCATATAATAATAGTGGAACAAAGAACCTTTTACATTATCACTGAAATGAAAACTCGGAAATTCATATATTTCAGTTAGTCTTTTGAAACAGGGTGCGTACATAGGGTACATGTTATCATCTTCAGAACTATATTAATATTTTGTAAAAATTATAAATTAATAATGGACCAAGAGACTGCGAAAATGCTATTCATTGAAGGAGGCACGTTCGTATTCTTGGGTGTTCCAGAGGAAACGCAATTTGGTATTGATATGCAATGTTGGAACACTGAAGAAGATTTTCGTGGAATTAAAATGATACCACCTGGTCTACATTACATTCATTATTCAGCAGTGAGTAAAGGCACTGGTGATGTATCCCCTAGGTAGGTATGTCAGTAGTTCACATTAATTAATTTGGTAATTCACCTTTGGGTAAAACTGTACTTCCAGGGCCCAAAAGGTGATACTTGTTTTTTTTTGTAGAAAAGGTCTTTTTAACAGTTTTTTTTTTCTGGCGCTTCGCCGGCCGCTGCCGCGGCACGCTCGCTTTGCTCGCTCGGCTCGCGCGTTATGGTCACAACACTAACCTAACCTAACCTAGTGTGAAGTATCACCACTTGATAAGAAAAGTAAAAATTTTCAATATTTTTTTCCAAAAAACTACCAGTGCATAAGTGTGACATTTTTTTTAATAATGTGGTTAACAGAAACCTTTTTAACAACAAAAATGCGAAATTACAACCAACAAAACTGTGAAGTTTTTACTTTTGGGCCCTGGAAGTACAGTATATCCCACCTTTGTACTTACACTTCAGTCCACTGCATTCATCATTGATCGACATGGTGTTCAGTTTTCTAATTTAGAAAATAAAAATACATTGGCATTAAACTACAAATTACTTACAGGTCTGGATTCATGCATGTATTTCACCAGAAAGAATTTCTTGTGAAGATGTGGGATAAGAAATCTGAAGATATGAGTAAAGATGAAATAAGCGATGAGAGTATTCAGCGACTGAAAGATAACTTGTTCAATCTTGATAAGCATCTGGCCCCCTATCCATATGATATTTGGGAGAAATGGAAATTGCTTACTTCCCACATCACAGGTAATAATTTCATTGTTTAAGACCTGTTAATGTGAGTGAAGTCTCTCCTATGTCACATAAACCAATATATCTTTAGATTGTGACATTCAGCCAACTTACATACAAAGAATTATGAATTATACTTGTTAGCAGATGACTTAAAGTTATGGTTAAACTAGCTGCCTTCACCCTTATTAACTTTAGGGTTTTAAAAATCCCTCGGGAACCTAAAACTTTTTTGGGGTTTAAAGTATCCTATGTCTCTATCCAGGTAATTAACAATATATGTGCCAAACTTCATCCAAATCCATTCAGCCGTTTTTTGTGATTGAGTAGCAAACATTTAATTTATTTTCTTAAAGAAAGACATGTTCATGTTTACGAAATAACAGAATATTAAACACTTTTTATCAATCCCACAACTCCTAACACAGCATTGACAAAAAAGTTTATCTTTCATAATTGGACGTAGTTACGCGAAAACGTTCCAACCCACAAGTCACTCGAAAATGAGTTACCATAACCAGGGTACTATTTTTGACATATTACATCATGTGCACACAAAGATGCTAGTATTTTTAGGTTAGTTTCATCAATAAAGTTTAACCCAAATGTTCCAACCCACCATTATGCCAAGGACGTGTACTCAAAATAAAGTAAAAACATTACATGCATACTGAAACATATTGTTAAAAACTCTTAATAGAATAACATATCGTTATAATGTTCCACTTGTCTTGGAACATTATACTAAATTCATAAAACGCACATTTAATGGTTTCTTAAATGATCCATGTGGGTTGGAACGTTTTTGCAAAATCTTTATACATTTTTTATTTCTGCAAAAATGTTCCATGTAATTTGAAACCTTTTAGATTAATCCATACTGTTTTTTTAAGCTGCGAACACTGTTCTAAATAAATTGAAACCTTTTATTATAATATATTATTTTCTAATTTTTTGCTATAAACAATCCACATATACTTGATCCATTTTTGCTATTAAGTATGTTCTAGAGAAAAAGATATTTTTTACCAAAATAAATAACTATGGTATATTTGGACGTAGTAACGAGAAAATGATCCAACCCACAGCAACCCCAATTTGAGATAAACGCAATTTACACACTTTTCCCCTGTAATTATTTCAGGCAAATACTATTGGTTTAACTATGGAATGCCAAACTGATTATTGAATGATATGCATATTTTTTGTAAATACATAATACAAGGGGCATATAAATAGGTAAAACGAGTTTGAAATGTTTTTGCTAAATTAATTTTGTATGAACCTTGTTAAATAGCAATTATGCATAAACTTTCCAAAACGAATTTAAGTGTATTATTTTATAAAAATAAACCAAAAAGAAATATGTAAAATAATAAATAACAATGAGGAACATACAAAAACAACAAAAAAAATATTTGAAAATGTATTACAAAAAAATAGAACGTGATCTTTTGAGTTTAGAACCTATGCCAAAAATTTGCTGATATGGTTCCAAAAGTTATCAAAAACTTATATTATAAACATTCAATTTTCATCATCGTATTCTATGATCTCGAAGTCCGGAACTCCACCAAACCCATCAACATCATCAGTGCTTCTTCAGAACTTTGAAGCGTTCTATAAAATTGAAGGCAATCCTCGGGTATGTAGTGGTACATGGATTGTAAGTCCACTAATTTCGCTGGAGCAATCGGTTTGTCGTTAGGCCACAATAAGCAAAAATCAGATTCTTTTATGTATTGCAGTTCTCGTTTTATTCTTTTATCAATTTTCAACTCATTGAAATCGTCTTCCATCGTAGACCGCATAAAAATAGAAAAAATCATATCTTTATCCAACTTAATTTCTTTTGTATGTAGCCAACTAACTTTAGATGAGTCTGTAAACTTCTTCCTATTGATAATCTTCTTTTCCAGTTTAGTTGTACTATAAAATCAGTCTTTGTCATTTTGTAAACTTGAAGAGGTTTAACTTTTTTACTTAGTTCTACAATAGTGGTATCCATAGTGCATCTAATGATACTGGGCATTGTTATGTATTGGTAGAAGGAGAGGTAGGAAGAGGTGCACAGGAAGTGGATTGCCTTCTGTTCTGAAGAAGCACTGATGATGTTGATGGGTTTGGTGGAGTTCCGGACTTCGAGATCATAGAATACGATGATGAAAATTGAATGTTTATAATATAAGTTTTTGATAACTTTTGGAACCATATCAGCAAATTGGCATAGGTTCAAAGCTCAAAAGATCACGTTCTATTTTTTTTGTAATACATTTTCAAATTTTTGTTGTTTTTGTATGTTCCTCATTGTTATTCATTATTTTACATATTTATTTTAGATATATTTATAAAATAATACACTTGAATTCGTTCTGGAACGTTTATGCATAATTGCTATTTAACAAGGTTCATACAAAATTAAATTTAGCGAAAACGTTTCAAACTCGTTTTACCTATTTATATGCCCCTTGTATTATGTATTTACAAAAAATATGCATATCATTCAATAACCAATTTGGCATTCCACAGTAACACCAATAGTATTTGCCTGAAATAATTACAGGGAAAAAGTGTACCGCTAAAACACAAAATTGCGTTTATCTCAAAATGGGGTCGCTGTGGGTTGGAACGTTTTCGCGTAACTACGTCCAATTATGAAGTGCACCTAATAAATTATTGGGATAAAGATTTTTGGTGTGTCATATTAGCCACTGAAATGTAAAGAAAATATTGTCAGAATCTTGAAATTGAGTGGTACATATGGCACAATTTAAATACATAAATTTAAGTAATTCTTAAATTTTAGGTGAATTGGCAATGAAATTGTCACCTGAAACTGGTGTCATCAGAGCAGCAGTTGAACTAATGTCTATGACAGATGCTGAAAGACCCAGAGGAGTAAAAGTGCAAGAGTCTTCTGAAAGTAGAAGCCTAGAAGAAAATGAAGTTAAGTCACCATCCACAGACTCAGTAGATGATCCTGCACCAGGATCATCTGATGCTAAGAGAGCTAAAAGAGTTACACGGGAAGATAAAGAGAATGCTATGCTACCAAATTTAAAGCCTGCTCCAGGTAATGTTTTGCTATAATTGTTAAGTACTTTATCATTATGCTTAATAGGTAACTCAAGATTTGTTAAGGATAAGGAAGGATTTTATTTATTATTGTATTTATAATAATTTTGGAATAAGTAGATTTCTAATATATTTTACTAAACAAATAACTATAATATTGTCACAACAATAGCAAACTAAAAACTTAACATTTAAAATTAACCCTAAAATATTTATATATTCACAAGAAGAATATGTCATCCAAAATTCCAATTTGGGGCATTGGTGCCCTGAACACTGGCAGCATTACCTCGCTGAATGGCTAGACTGATTTTGAACTATTACATTTATATATTTTTTTTAATTAACTAGCAATAAAACAACATTTTTTTGCAACAATTGTATTGATTATGGAATTGGCTGAACATCAAAGATGAATCTTAAGAGTAAACAGCATAACCACAATTAAACATTGGATATATTTTTACTTCAGGTACAGCACTGAGGTTTACTGAAATACCAAAGGATAAATTCCCTCCTGGATCAACACCAGAAGAAATTACTAAACACTATCTGGATCAATCATACTCTTTGGAATTGATGATATCACAACAAGATGAGTGAGTATCCTCAGTCACTTTCTTTATTTTTCATATTTTAGAAGGAAAATTAAATATGTCACTTTGACTTCTGATGTAAAAATGAGTGACTTGTTATGTTATAATTTATACTTTCAATGAAACAAGCTAGTGGGTAGCAATCACAAGTTGAGAAAGTTATAAAAGCACTAACATCAGGATTCTCGAATCTGAAAAAAGAGCTACTGTGAATGAAAGCAAGATGTGAAGTTTAAAGTAACCATAATACAGTAGCTGAAAATCTGAAAATGTGGTAGCACTTGTTTTTTGTTGTTGCTTCTGTGCTGCTGCCCTTGGCCTCGGCCAATCGCTCTGCTATAGGCTGTTTCTATGCGCATGGGCTTATTTACCCTAAGGCCAAGAAGGTCATAATTCAGGGTGGCAGAAGCCATATAAAAGCCAATATTGACCTGTATTTTTATTTGATTGAAAAAGAAAACATTTAAAAATGTTACCGAGTTCAGGATCGAACCACCGATCAGTTGGTGTCGACCCCAAGATTGTTACCGTTCGGCTATCCATCTCTTATGGTAAGTGATAAAATAACGGATACCTATCTTGTGTCAAACACTCTACTTCCGTTACATCGAATCTTCACAACAGTGCTATAGAAGTTTTCACTTCAAAAAGGAATTTCCTGTTTTTTTTTCATGGCAGATAGAATAAAAACTGTATTTTTGCATCTCTAGCGCGGCCTCGCTTTTGGCAATGCGCGCCGTGGGTCCCCGGCATAAGCCGTCGTTCATTACGGCAAGGACGACCTTCGATCTCAATCTGTTAAGACTGATTTTGTGCTCATTTTATTGTTACAGGCCTCTGAACATCATAGGAGAACTTCAATTTGCATATCTTTGTTTTCTCATCGGACATTCCCTAGATGCATTTGAACATTGGAAAAGTCTGATTATATTACTCTGTTCCTGTGATGATGCAATACAAAGGCATAAAAGCATATTCTTCCATTTTGTGAAATCATTGCAGACACAAATTGATGAGATGCCTGAGGAATTTCTAGCTGATATTGTAATGAATAAGAATCTTGTATACAAAAAACTTAGGGAATTCTTTCGTACTGCATATATTAGCAAAATAGACGGGCGTCTTTGCACATTAATTGAGAGTTTCAAAGTTCATTTGACAGAAAAGCTTCAATGGGACTTCACTGAACTAGATGCTGATGAAGAAGACGAATTACCAGTCATTGTCAATCTAGAACAGTATGAAGAATAAACAACTTTTATTTCGTACTTTAACATCAAAAATCCGTAGCTTCGCCCATGGTTCCTTGTTGTTATTTATACAACAAATATTTCTATATATTAAATTCATTGTAGTAAAACCAAATATATTAAAATAACAGCATAAGTATCTTTTCCTTCTTGAATTTTATGTGGTATGTAAATATCATTTTACACTGACAATTTTGTAAATAGTGAAGCAATAAATAGTTGTAAGGAGCATTATTTTATGTGTTTTAATTGGTAGCAGGTATGATGGATAACAGATCAAAAGTAAAAGAAATTTGAATAGTACCTTAACATTCATTTTATTATTCTTACTATTAATAAAACAGATAAAATTATTATTATGTTCAAAGTCATTTCTTTTTTTTGAACTGTTTTCTTATTACCTTACTCTCATTTTCAAATTTACGCTTCTTTTTTGGGGTTGTTCCCTCATTTCCAATTTTAGGCTTCTTATTGGAAATCGTTGATTCTGAAAATTTTACATGTGCAATATTAATAAATAGAATATGGAAAAACCGGTCACGGTCGTGTCGGACTTCGCACATTTAGGATTCTATGCCAAATGTAAAAAATTTAAAGAAAAAAAAACTGATTTCGTGTCCGTGATGCTAGCGTACCCACGATCAATATACGGTTTTTCGTTATGCCATTAAATACTGCGTAAATAGTGCCAAATTAGTGTAAAAATAATAAAAATAGTGCCTCTTTAATTTAAGAAATAAAGACCATTTTTACTGTGTACGCTACCATGACGTCAAGCTAGCGTACCCATGGCCGACCCCAAGAACGGCATATATTTAAGCAACAAAATTGACACACAAAAATAGTTCGCAAATAGTGCCCTGGCTTTACAAAATTTCATAATCAATACTCTTAAAGGACCAAAGATATTGAACTAAACATTCTTAGCTGGCGTCAACCTGGCGTACCCATAATAGTTCTCATAGAAAATTAACTTTTCTCGTTATCAATTCTATATGTATTCTGAAATTATCCCAATACGGTTTTGCTGGTAGTTTTCTCAATGGTGCGCTTCTTACTTAAATGATCGTACTTCAAAGGTCGTAATGAGTGGACACGAATCTGATCGTTTTCCAAATCTTACTGGAGTTCCTCAAGGCTCCCATTTGGGGCCAACATTCTTTAATATATTTGTGAACGACGTGGCGGAATGCTTTAAAATTGCAAAGTATATCTTTACGCAGACGATCTTTTGAAATTAATGAGACCAATCAATGATATGCAAGATGTTTGCTTGATGCAAGATGATCTAAATAAATTGAACTCTTGGTGTATAGAAAACAAGATGGTTTAAAAACGGTAGAGAAATATTACTATATCCGCTTTACTCGTAACCACTCCGATGTACCTGGATCTTACACAATATCTAAACAATCTATCCGTGAAGTCAAGAATGTTCGTGATCTTGGTATAATCCTAGATAAAAAATTGAGTTTAAGAGAACATTTCGATTATATTGTTTCTAGATCACTTGAATGTCTGGTATTCGTAATAAGAAACACTAAAAACTTTAAAAACCAGTCAACCATAATAAGATTGTATGAAAGCCTGATTAGATCTACTCTCGAATATTGCATTGCTTGGAGCCCTTATAAAATAGAACGCGTGCAAAAGAGGTTCTTGTATCATTTGTCCTATAAATTTAACCTCGCAAAAAAGCTGCACGGATATAACGAACATTTTAAGCATTTTAAATTTTCGCGCAATATGATAAGCTTATCTTTTCTCCATAGGGTTGCAAATGGTAACATAAATTGCCCCCAATTGATACATAAACTTAACTAACTTCTCGATCACTTGCAAACTACCACGTCTGTCAAGATACAACTTGTTTACACCAATATATTGCAAGACTAATTTAGGTCTTTACTCTCCTATAAACAGGCTTCAAGCGCAATATAATTCAATAAGCAAAAATAAGGTAATCGAATTATTTAGTCTGAGTCTCCCGTCATTTAAAAAAAAATACAGCTTAACACTTAATAACTCATCTATCTACCGTTTTTGTTTGGTTTTTTATTTTAAAAATGTAATGTAATGGACTTTTGTTTGTTTTTTGTTATTTTATAAAATCAGAATATTTTTGTAAAGGATGCCTTATGCTCCTAATTAGATTACACATTTTTTTGCTCTCCGTGACAGCCTGTTATTAAGGCAACACCAAATTATTTAAGAAAAGAAATGTATTATTAGCCTGTAAGACATATGTTCTTGTTGGTTGTCCAAATAAATAAAATAAAATAAAAAACAAGATCCAATATGGCGGACTTCCCTTTTTACATAAAATCACCATAGTTTGTAACAAACAAGCTAAGCGACCCTGCTTCTAAGGAATGAGCGTCATTCCGTCAGGTCTCTTGCCATCATCTCGGAAGTTGCCGCTAGGCTCTAAGACCGCTGCTGGCAAATTGACTGCGACAAGAGCTCTACTCATTAACGCAGGCGTAGCGGGAGACTCGACCTGCGCTCATTTGGCATGAGAGACCATCATGTCCCAACTCACCGACGCGAATTCCGTAACGACAGCGATAGGGGTGATTGGGGACAGTGCTCCTGTCATGCAAAGTCCTGATATTAGCTGAAGGGAGAGCTTGCAACCAGTAACCAAACTGCCTGAAAGACCGCTAGGAGGCGAGCACGCTCAGCTGCGTTTTTAGAGGAAGCTAAAAGATCACTCTGAAGACGCAGACAGAGTTGCTCGTCCAATTGGCTCTGCGAAGATAAGGCAGGATAGAGGATCTACTTCCGGGCATGCCCTACACCAAGCATTCCTGGACTCTGCAAAGTGAGCCAGCTCCACTAAGGCTAATGAAGGACGTAGTATTTTATTGAAAAGCTCGGCTGTACCATGTGCAGAAGACAGAAAAGCGGGAAAGGCAATGTGTGAAATATGGCGGGTTCCTAGTCCACCGAAACAGGGAGGCCTTTTTTTTTGAGACGCAGGCGAATCCTCTGTTTACAGACGACGGCGCCTTTAAGAGGCACACCGCGCAACATTATCTCCTCACACCCAGCACTCGCAAACGTCACGGGCACGATGGGGCTAACCCCCAAGGTAACCCGCGCCATTTACGAGCACGCTTAACGGCGTACTATCCGCTATAAAATCGTACGAGTACCCTCTAAGCTGCTTAGTGCGAAGCCGCGGGATCCCCGTTTAGGGATTCTTCCGCGTTTCCGCACCCAGCAGCCTCCCGGCAGGGGTCTCCCGGGTTATGTCGGGGACCCCGCAGACGTGCCGGTAGGTCTAATTCCAAGTGTTATTAGAAAATTGACAATTTAGAATTCTCGAAAGTGTCTCCCTGAGCGAGCTATCAATAGATGGCAGTAACCCTAGAATAATATATACATATTTTTTTTAAGTTTCATACCTGCAGCTTTTAGCTTCAGTTGTTTCGCTTTTTTTGATTTTTGCACAGCAACTGTTTCATTACTTGTAGAAACTTTTTTTTCTACTATTACCATTGCATTTTTTTTACTTTTCTTATTCTCTTTTTTAGTTTGAGTTTCTAACCCTTTTTCTTCTTTTTTGTTTTTCTCTTTAACCAAATAAATTTTATTAATGTCATTCTTATTTTCTTCTACTTTCTCCTGTTTTACTTCTGGCTTCGCTAAAAGGTGAGATAACTCTTCAGGCACATCTACAGGTGAGAAAATGTCATAATTTATGCCGAAGGTACTTAACTTCCTCTTCATTTTATGGAACCTGAAAATGATGATTGATATTTCGTTATTACCCAAAGTATTTGTTATTGCCCAATTTGTTCCTTATAAATGATGTTGTGTTTGAAGAAATATATTTAGTATAAATTAAAATTCAACTTGTTGCTGCTTATTTTATTTTTAATTACTTAACTTATTTAGATGATTTCTATGTTGTAAGAAAATATGTACCGGAATAACTTCAGCTTGTGCAGAGCAGACCAAGTACAAATGCACTAACATAAGGGTATGGGACATAACGGATGAAATTTTTTTTAAGTATTTATTTTTAGCTGGAATACGCATATTATGCTATGTTTATAAAAATTTAACAGTTAAACATTAATAAAAACAGATAACTTACGTAGATAACATTTTTTTAGCCCTTTTTAGTTCACCTTCTTCGTTTGGGTCAGTATTATATTCCTGGAATAAAACATTCTTGTGTCTATTAATGTGATACCAACACAAAACTATTTAATGGTCATAAAATTAAGACAGCATTTACCTTTTTCATTTTAATTCTCATGTTATTGGAAGGATTGTTTACTGCATTCCAGTGTTTTCTCCGTGCAAAACGTTTTTGTTTCTCGGGGGGAATACATACAGCTGAAAATAATTTACATACTTTAATATTGATAGGTATAATTCTTATTACCTTCTTATAAATAAAAAGTTCAATACATACCTTTAATTAATCTCTTTCCCATCAAATAATTATTCATTGTATCTGCCACTATTTCAGCTACAGCTGGATCTCTAAACTCTACAAATGCAAAACCCTTAGAATGACCAGTGCGTTTGGAACGTATCACCCTTGCATTTGTAACCATACCAAATTGTTTAAAATATTGTGTCATTTCATTCTGTAATGTAATAAATTTTGTTATATGTAAGTACAGATGTAAATAGTAATATATCATTAACTTGTATCTTAATATGATTTTTTTGCAAACAGCTACTGCATATTTTACTTAAATGTAACCCATCCATATTTTGATATGCTAATAAACCAAGGTCAACATTGATACATATTGTAGGTTTTCTCTAGCTCCTACTACTCTCCTATTGATAGTAGCATGATATTCGACATTCTCCTACCCTTCAGTGGGAGCATGAAAAAATTACAATTAATGTCCTGATGCTCACACTATTAAAATAATGTAAACATTTGACATCGTGGGTTACCTATAATGCGAAGAGATGGCGCTGCCTTGCAGCTTAAGAATGGCTAGAAGAATTTCGACGCGGTCCGTGAGGGCCGCGGTAGCATAATTGGTCAGTGCATTCTCCCGGATTGCGAAGGGTGCGGGTTCGAGTCCCGTCTGCTGCCTGTCCGCGTGGAATTTTTTCTAGTTATATTTTCTTTAGATTTAAACATCAAGCAGTTACATGCTTTAAAATAATAAAAATTATAACTATAATTGCTATTTCTTCTTTCAAATGTTTAATACTTGTAAAAGTATTCATTTGACATCATGGGTTACCTATAATGCGAAGAGATGGCATTGCCTTGCAGCTTAAGAATGGCTAGAAGAATTCGACGCGGTCCGTGAGGGGCGCGGTAGCATAATTGGTCAGTGCATTCGCCCGGATAGCGAAGGGTGCGGGTTCGAGTCCCGTCTGCTGCCTGGTCTGCATGGATTTTTTTCTAGTTATATTTTCTTTAGATTTAAACATCAAGCAGTTACATGCTTTAAAATAATTAAAATTATAACTATAATATAAACTTCCTACCGAGGTTTTTCATGATTTCACTTTGTACCAAAAATTCCCATAATTATAAACAATCACAAACCTTAACTCTGTCTTCTATAATGATTCAATTACAGATAGGAAATAATATATTAAAAGTGCTCCATATACAACTGAAATTAAAATAACCTGATCATTGATTTTTCAGGGAAATATAAATGAGGAATCTACTTTCAAAATCCACTAAAATCTTTTTCAGAAAATATAAGCTAGCAAAAAAAAACACCTCATTTTAAATAAAAGGTCAGTTCAATTAAAGTAAGCATCATAAATTTTTAATTTGTGCTTTATAAACACTTTTAACATGATTTACCAAGGAAAACATGGATTTTAACTGATAAAGTGCTAAAAGAATTTTGTTTTTAGTGGATTTTGATGAGAACCTTTGATTATAGCGGGATTTGCAACGACTATTGTAAATTTTGGCGGGTTTTGATTTGAATAGATTTTGAGGTATGGATGGTCTTATCCTACATGCACGAATTAAAATAATCCACTGTGTAGATATTCTTATGTAAATATTAAAGTTAGGGTTTGTTAAAATATATTTTTGGTACTATCTGGTACTATCTGGTAGAAACCCATAATAACAAACAAGGATTTTTTATAAAACATAAATTTAAAAAAAATCATGGGTACATACATTTAAACTTGCAAATTAACTTCTTCCCCAACATGCTCACACATATTTTCTTCATCAACTACTTTTTTTATGAAGTAATTCAACATGATTAATGCACGTGCGTTTGATAATTTTTGAAGAAATAATATTTTCACAACACATGAAGAAATGTATTAATATGCCCCCTAGCTTTGCAAACTTCAATGTTTTAAAACAACACAATTTTATTAATTGGTGCCATGTACTGTGTTGGATCCTACGCCTTTACCCATCATCGCATCATTCTGCATAACACCTTTTAACAGACATCACCAAGTTGTTCATGTGATTTGAATCCTGTGCTGTGATTGGTCCGCATATTTTTGGTGGATTATAGTGGAGTTTGCAACGAATACGAATTTTAGATCACTGTTTTTTTATAGAATTAAGCGGGTTTTGCACCTAAATATTTCGAGGATATGAATAATAAATATTCAGAAATATTTTGGAAGACTTAACTATTTTTTTGTCAAAAACCGTTTTAGCGGGTTTTGAAAGTAGACTCCTCAAATGTGCTTTGGTAGTACTATTAATCTTCGTAAAATATGTAAATAATTTGTTTTTTAAATTGGCTTAAGTGACGTCATATATCGAGAAATTAAGCATTTTCTTATATGGCTATGGCAGTACTTTTGTAGTAAGACTAGCATTTAAGCATGCGCACTTTAAATTATCTAACCTTTAAAATAGTTTGCTGAAAATTCAATAGATAGAGTGTGTAATCACAAATACATTTATGAAACTTGGTATCTAAGTAATAAAGCTTATTTTTGTTGGCAAAAAGTATAACTTAAATTAAATTGTATATTAATGTTCTATTAAAGTGATTAGTGTACTTATGTCTTTATGCACATTTTTTTTTTCTTTTATTAAGCTATTATTCATTTCTACAGCAGAGAATAAAGGTTTTTTTTTATTTTTATTTAAGATAAAATATTTCATTTTGACCTACAGTTAAATTTCACACAGGTGTTGGCTTTATGACGTACCTAGTCATGAAGAAATTTTACATGTTCACATTTTTGTAGGTTTCTATCTCATGTGAGCAGCAAATATCGATACCTTTATTTGCAAACCTAATAGCTCCATTTTTTCACGAAAATTACATTTTGATATAACGAAGCAAGAAGAAGCAGAAACAAGATTTTTTGCTCCATTTTTCGAAATTCTAATAATTCCATGATTCCCAACTGTATTGGTGTAAAACACCATTTGAAAATCAAACAACTCCACATGAAACGAAACGCGTCAATTTTGACAAAATAATCGAATATCTTCCTCACAGTCGGCCATTTTGTATGGCGTCACAGGAGAGTACGAATGCTCCCGAAGATTTATTTTCAAAACAAATGGTTAGTGTGTGTGTGTGTGGTGTGTGTGTTAAAGGTAGTAAAGTTTCGCTGATACACTATTAAAGTATAAGTTATTGAAATTTAATTTTCGTTATATATAGGTATATTATCCTTATAAACTATTTGACTTTTTTTGTGTTTTTTTTATTGTCTGCAAAATCATTAATTTAATAAATATAAATTAATATAACCACATTCATCGACTTTTGGATTGAACATACAAGAACAGTTGTCTGTTCTAACATTTTCTTATCATGGTATTTGGCAAGATTGAAGTCAACCACATTTAGCAAGCGAAATAGTGAGGGGTCATGATTTATGATTGTTTTATTTTATTAAGATGTTTACATTATTTTATTTCTGAACTTACCATGTAGTGTTAGCATCAAAGAAAGAGTTTTTGAATGTGCCAATGAGAAGTAAAATAAGTCAAAAAGACTTGGTATTAGAAATTACTGAGTGTGAGCACCCAAGTCAAAAATAAAAATTGTTAATCATGCTCCTTTTAAAGAGTGAGACGTGAAACAATCTGTTTTAGCTCTTGTACCAGTTCAAGAGCCTAGTACAAGCTCGAGAAAACGTGGATATCGAGCTTAATAGGTAATAACAGAAACTAAATACTAACCTCATAAAACCCATGTGGTATATGTCCCAGGTAAACAAGGCCACGGGACTTACGTTTGGAGCTTTGAATTTTACCTTCTTTTGATTTAGAAAGGTTTTGCTCGTCATTCTTCTGTAAAAACGTATTTGTAAACAAAATTCAATTAATTCGTGGTAATGGTAAGCACATCGCACAATATCTCCAATCAGTAATTAGGATTTACCTTAATGATTTTTTTTATTCCTTTGATAGATTTGACAAATTGTTTTTGTTTACTGGAATCTAATGCTACATTTTCTTCCATTTTCTCTGACAAATCCGAAGAAAAAACAAAATAGAGCCACAAAACTGTAACCAGGTTCCGGTTATAACACAGACTAGTTAGAGATTAGTGTTGCCGATCGATAGTCGACTATCGAGGATTAATCGATAGTCTATCGATAGCCGACCAATCGTATGACAATCGATCGGCTTATCGATAGTATCGATACTATCGATAGTATCGATAGCACAGAACAAGCCAATACTATCGGATGAGTGAAATACTATCGATACTATCGATAGTATTGTAGGTCGGTAATAACAAACTATCGATAGTATCGATACTGTCGATTTTATTTACAACTATACTATCGATAGTTTAACAATTTGCAATAGTATTGTTTACAATTTTCAGGTATTATAGTCAATCACAATCAACTATTAGAATTAGCACAGCACGATAGAAATGTTTATAAAAATATATATATCGGCCTCTAATAGTCCTCAACTACAATACTGTTAAAATATACCTAATACCATTGCAAATTGGTAGACTATCGATAGTCTAAAACAATCGCTAGTATCGATACTATCGATAGTATTGTTGCAGATAAAATCAACAGTATCGATAGTATCGATACTATCAATAGTTTGTTATTAACGAACTACAATAGTTTCGATAGTATCGATACTATTGCACTCATTCGATAGTATTGCCTTGTTCTGTGCTATCGATAGTTTCGATACTATCGATTCTATCGATAGGGTACATGATTTTCGATGTAAACTGTCGATAGTTTTCATATCGATAGTTCGGCAACACTATTAGAGATACGGTTATAATAATGTAGGTACTCTGTGACTGTAACGACACCAAAGAGTAACATAAGAACGACACGAATGAGAACGAAACGATAAATGTGACAGTGACAGTCAGTATTGCCTTGTTTCAATTTAATTTTGCCCTTTACACAAACTCAGTTTACCCTAGATTTCGAGAAAATGTAAATAAATACCCTATTATTTTATAAATATTTAAGGGAAGCGTCATTGCGATGCGATGGGGCAAAGAGCTCGTTCAAATACGTTCGCCCGGAGAAGTTTCAGATTCAGACTCAGAAAACAAGCGCGAGAAATATACAGTGTAGTTTAAGCAGGTTGCCTGCTGCCACTATGGCCACCCTGCTTTAACTATACTGTTTATTTCTCGCGCTTGTTTTCTGAGTCTGAATCTGAAACTGAGTGCACTCTGGCCGTACCCATACACGCTACGAGAAATCGTTACGATCAGACGGTACAATAAACGGCGTCGACGCACACGTGTCAGCGATGGCTTCGACGGACGACGTTTTAGCAGTTGTTGAATTAATATTCGCCCTGAAGGAAAATAAAGTGAAGCAAAAAAATCGTAGCATCTGGTGCAAAGAATGGCTAATGAAAAGAAGAGTTCATTCTCATGTCAATTTGTTGTCGGAATGATGTTTCCAAAAGCCTGGCATATTTTTTTAAAAATGGATCATGATACATACTTCCATGTACTGAATACATCTGAATCGTCAGTTGCACCCGAGCTGCAACTGACGACAAAACTGAACGAGCGCATATACGTTACGATTAGTCGGTACAGTTCATCCGATTGAGATAAATCAATTGAAATTTTCGTATTGCTCCGTTCGACTGCACAGTCTTCAAAAATCGTAGGAAACTGTGCAGTTTTATAACATACACGCTACGATTTATCGATACCGTTCGGACTGTACAGTCTAATCGTAACGATTTCTCTTAGTGTGTATGGCTACCATAAGCCCAATATCGGATGTGTTGTGGATCGTTTCTCATGCGAAGTAATATTCTCCTAAATAAAACGTAGGCCCTTTTAGGCGCTATTTAGCAGTCCTATGCCACGAAGAAAAAAACAATTTAAGAGAAATACGTTTATTACTTCTAACGAAAATTATAATAATCAATCAATCACTGTCAAAAATTCAAAATGTGAAAAATTAATATATGCCATAAACTAGTAATTACAAAAAGGTTGGTATCGGCAACATACTGCCCGCCTTGCGCATACGCAGGTATAAAAACTAAAGGATTATGCGCAAGAACCATCAATCTACATACAGTAGAAATTTATAAAACGTACCTATTCGTTTTGTAACAATTCAAGTTAACACACATAACTAACACAAAAAATAAAGTAAGTCATAAAAATTTTGAAGGGATTTTAACGAGACGACCAGACCTCGTAACCTTGGGTGGTGATGCACTAGGAGCTGTGGATGC